AGGAAGTTCAAATATTTTAATGTTGCAATGTTTACAGAATTGATAGTATCAATTACAAATGAACAAAACAATCATTTGAATAGCAATATCTTCCCTAGTTCTTTATGCGTTTTCTTTCTTCGTATTTTCTTTTCTTACATCACATCATCTGTCTTTTGCTGATATTCTTTATCTTGGTTCAAATATTCTTTAGTCGTTTATTTCGTTCTGTTTCTTTTACTATGGTGTGTTTCAAATCTTACCTCGTTCGATTTTCTTCAGAAAGTACAAGGTTCAGCGTTCTTTGAGATGGAATATTGGTTGAACTTTCAGTCTCCGTTTTATCTGCAATATTTATTTTTACATATTTCTGTTTTATTGTCGTAATTCGGAAAAAAAAAGCTAACATTAGAAATAAAAATAAAAATAACCATTCGCCTACACGAATAGTTGTTGATAAAGGTGAGATATAGAAAACATTATTGATAATGTCGTTTTATTAAGAGTGTAAGATTCGATTAACGTTTTATCATTTATGCACATTAATTTGAAATAGATTAAAGAGAGAGAGAACTGACAGACAAAACAATAAATAGAACAGACAGTGAAAAATAGCAGCTTAAAAGGACACAGATAATTGTAAGAACAGGAATATATATATAAAACATGATAAGGAAAAGAATATTAAACTGTTTTCTCTGACAATTTCATCTTATAAGCAGATTACATATATATTTACATGTACAAACTTCTAGTACCAGAGATTCATTTAAGTTAATTACTTTCTGTTCTGTTTCGGAAAGAAGAGTAGGAAAAGAAAAAGTTTTCCATGAAAAAAAAGGCAAGTGAAAGTGCTACATGTCTGAGCACGAGATTCTGATTTTAGTTAACTATATTTGATTCTCAAGAATTATGTTTACGTGACCGAAAAATTAATTAGCATTTTTTCTCAAGATTTTACGCAACGGGTGCTAGGGTGTGAATAATTTCAGACCAAGCAGAACACATTGAAAATGTAGATGGCAATGATACACGACAAATAATCACTTCGACAATTATCGAAGTGATGGAAGAAAATTTAATTGAAGTTCATTAGACGAGAAAGAGTCGTCACTCAATCATTAAGTTGACTACAGACAAATTCTGGTCAGTGAGGCTATGAAATACGAAGAAAAAAAGCATAGAAAAATGGAAAAATTCTGTTGCTTTGAAAAATACTTGCAGAGTAATACATGCGAGATTAAAATGTGAAACGTGATGGATCCGTTCGACTAGAGAACGGGAATTACATCCATATTCATCATAGTATACTTGATGATGAGATAAACTAACATATGAAAACGTCTGTCATTATTCTTAACGCAACAGACCTTTGCTCATTATATCTGTCTATCATCGTTTGTACTCAAGCACCCAAAAAATAAAAAAAGACGCATTACACTGATGAAATGGGCACAAGAACTCGCATATTTCAGATTCATAAAATCAAACGACCATTTTCATTAATTTAATTCAATAACTAGAGAAAATGAAGTGTAGAACTGCAACGAACACTATGATTTAACTAATCATATCGTATTTATTTATTGATATTTCGACAATATTATTTTGTCATCATCAGAATAAATACAAAAATTTACAATAAGAACAATACAAAAGACATAAGTTAGGAAAAAATAAATAAATAACTAGCCCTCTAGCCGGCCTTGGGGCGGGTAGAAAAGTTGGCTGACTACAAAGCCCGAAAAATATCGAAATATGATTCTAAACGACATCTACTATTTCGAAATCCTAGACTTATGTAGAGAAAGTCATAATGAATTTCAATCACCTTCAGCTGTCTTAGTTCAGCTGACTAGTGAAAAATAATGAATCTGAATCATAGATTTCTATATAAGGAAGCTCTCAGTTGTTCATTATCGCTGTTTGTATCTCATCTGTATAAACCATGCAAAACGATAATTAAACTATATATGCACATAAGATCTGAAATATCAATGGTCTTTTTAAGACTGAGTCATGTATAACCATATAAGGAAACTATCAGCTGTTAATTATCATTTTTGGCATGATTTGTATGTCCCGAATGCCACCGAATTTCGAAAAATGGATTTCAGATGTGCATCCGTCACGTTCTCAGGATCTCGCCAATCTTTTTTTCGACTGAAAATGATACTCAGGATCTGAGAACGGGGGCTGACTTGAATCGTGACTCATATGTTGAGAAGAAGAAGAATTTACCATAGCAATTAAGAGAGTGAAAAGCAATAAGTCGGCTACTGCACTTCATGCAGTCAGCCGACTTAATGAAAGATTGTTTGTGAATGAGAGTATTATATAGGTATGAATGAGTCGGCTAATTCGGGAATGAATAAATTAGTCGACTCATTCATACCTATATAATACTCTCATTAACAAGCAATCGTTCATTCTTTATTTATTTTTCTTTTCTCTTAACTCATGTCTTTTTGTATTGTTCTTATTCTGAATTTCTGTATTTAATCTGATGATGACAAAAGAATATTGTCGAAATATCAATAAATAAATACGATATGATTAGTTAAATCATAATGTTCATTGTAGTTCTACATTTCATTTTCTCCATTTTTTTTAATTTCAACCACTCTTCCATCTAATTATCTTAATTCGATAGCTTTATTAAAAATCGAAATCATCGCATTTGCTTCATTCAAATGTTACTTGTAATCGATGAGTTTGAAATATATTTATTTTGATGCTTGTTCCATCGTCGAAAATGTCTTGTTAAGGGTAACTAGTCTCCCCATATACTTCAACACTCATTACCAATCGCGTTTCACAAAATACCTAAAACCAATATTAATTCTTGTAGAAAGATAATGTAAGCTAGACGTTAGTGAATACTATTAATCAGCACAAAAAAATATTAAGATGATAAACAGCTTACAGTATGAAATATTCATCATTTGATTGAAAGATACATGAGAGAATAGAGTAGATTAGCAACTGGAATGAAACAATTTGTGATGTGCTTGTCAGATCTATGTAAAGAAGAGAGATAGATAAATGCAGCGAACAATGATAGCGATCATATTTGTAACGACCAACTGAAGAAGTAGCTTTACATATCACCCTCGGTAGTGATATTTATTGTGCTACTTCATAGCTTCAGAATATAACTACTTCACATACAACGTACACCGTCTATATAGGAGAAAGCAAAAGAAAGTAATGAATACAGGAAAAACCAATGGAGAGAGAGAGAAGCATGATGTAGAAGGAAAAGTAGAACAGTGGGAGGTGATATTCATACGGGCACATTCTTCTATTGAGATTATATCTTCTCTTTACAGTCTTTACGATAAAGAAAAATTTTCAAAGAAACAAAAAAAAAACATCGAAACAAGAACTAATAATGATAATAAGAGAAAAGAACAGAATAACATATTCAGCTTTGTAAAATACGACCCAAAAGGAGTGTTGAAGTATATCAGATTGAAAATTGTAATTCTCAGAAGCCCTCTCCAAAGACCATCATAGACTATGACAGACGTTGTTTACATACAATTAAACATCGAATATCATGAATATCTCATTAGAATTTATGAACTACTTCCTTACTGTCATTTTAGAGAACAGAGTAAAGGATGACGAAGAAATATATCCTAAAATAGACTGAATAAAATAATTATCACTTGATTACAATATTTTGCAAAAATAATTCATCAATTTTATTTCTCGTGTTTTTCTACAACAGAATCACTTTCAATAGTCATGTATATTTTTACATACTAGTATATTTAGTTGAGTATTAGGATTGTATGATACAGATTTGAATCGTCACACCGTTGAATCGGCTTATGGCTTCTACTTTGATGATAGCAAAAACAACTGCGCCATACTTGTTTTAGATACGACCCGCTGCCAAGCCGCTTGAACTTTATAATCAGTCATCAATTGTTAAGCGGCGACGACAGAAGCTTTGTAATAGCAAGATTAAAGACAAGTTTTCTCTTAGAGGAAGAAAAAAAAAAGTCAAATGAAAAAGATGAAGCAAAAATTATATGTTGGATAAAAACAAGGAAATGAACGAAACAATCAGTTAAGTTTCATCATCAAACGGAGAAAGCCAAGTCATATCATGTTAGTTTAACACCTTATAATGTCTCAAGAATGATGGCAAGAGCTTGGCTATATAAAAGAAGAATTAAGAAGACATTATAAAAAAAGGTTTTGGGTGTTGTTCTTTCAGTCGCACCCACACGCTTCTTTTCTCTCAAATCTAATTCCACCTGTCTTAACAATGATATTAGATATATCGAAACGTCGACAATATAAAATATGATTATATATAAATAAATAAAATAAATTTAAGCTACTGTAAAATTTTCATTTAATAGAATTATGCCTATTACAAAACATAACGACATTACACTTGGCGCTACACACAACCAAAATCTCAATGACATCAATGATACGGAAAGAGTACATAGTCTACAATAGAATCGTCATTTTCGTACAATAAAATCTCCGATAAAAAATCACTGTATCCATTTCTCTCTAAGTCTTTTAGACTTCTGCTTATGACTGGAGATATCGATGGAGAATTTTTCTGTCGTATAGATTTGTTTCTGTGTAGGGTGACGGTCTTATGAAGGTAGTATGTTAGAAAGTGTTTTTCTCTTTAACTTTGTATGAATAAAAGAAAGAAACGAAAAAGAACCACGACAAAAAAAACGATAACGTCACCCTTCTTTTTTTACTCGTACTAAAAATAACTGTCCTCTATACGAAAGTAAAAGAAAAGAAAGCAACAAAAATAAATATTGCATTCGGTGGGGTCTGTCTTTTTCTTCATCTGACTCATGCAAGATATCGAAAGAACATTTATTTAAACATTTTCATACTCTTTTTCTCAATCTTCTTGTTTTTTAGTGTTCCATTCCAAAAAAAAGAAGAGTAAGTAGTTGATTATGATTATATTTTAGAAGAGTGAGAATAATAATTCACGAGTAATACAACAAACTACAAGATCAGATCAAATGGCTACCGATCTGGAATGTCAGACGTCGACAACAACTCCTGAAATCGATGAACGTCTTTATTCACGACAACTGTATATAAACTTTTTTTTTTACATGAAAAATAAGAAATAAATATTGTTTATTCTTTTATTAGTTATGTGATGGGGAAAGAAGCAATGTACGAATTACGTAATGCTGATATTCTTATATCAGGCATGCGTGGTCTTGGTGTTGAAATTGCTAAAAATCTGATATTATGCGGTGTTAAATCAGTTATTGTTCATGATTGTAACAATGTTGACTACAAAGATTTATCATCACAAGTATAATTAATTAGTTTGATACTTGCCTTTTTTTTCGTATTTCTATAATAGTATTATTTTTCTGAATCTGATATTGGTCAAAATCGCGCTGAAGTTGCTAAAGAAAAATTATCTGAACTGAATAATAATGTTAATGTGACATATTCTTCATCCAATATTGACGAAGATTTTCTTCAAAAGCATAAAGTGAATGTATGTTACTTTCAATTGTCGAAAAAATCAAATATGTTTTGTTTTGTTTTGTTGAATGAATGTATAGGTATTTGTTCTTACTGATGGTGATATTGATAATCAAGTGAAAATAGGTGATTATTGTCATGAACATGGAATAAAATTTGTTAATGCTAATACAAAAGGTTTATTTGGGTAAAATAAATAAATGAGTTGTATTTGTAAGATATATCTTTATTTTCAATAGACAAATATTTTGTGATTTTGGTCAAAACTTCAAAGTACTCGATACAAATGGTGAAGATCCAATAACAGAAGAAATAGTTGATTCAATCAGTCATGTATGAATTGTTTCCGAGTAATGGAGAAAGTTTATTTATTTAAGCTTGTTGTTCAGGATGAAATTGGTGTTGTATCAATAGCAACATATACAAAACATAGTTTCGAAGATGGATCATACGTTACTCTTCATAGTGTGAAAGGAATGACTGAAATTAATGATCGTGAATTCAAAATCACTGTACTAGGTTTGTGTTCTTTTTTTCATTAGTTATTTTGTCTAGATAGGAAAAGATTGTGTTTAGATCCATATACATTTATTATTGGTGATACAAGAAATTTTGGTGTCTATGAAGGTGGGGGAACAGTTACTGAAGTCAAAAAAACGGAAACTGTGCATTTCGTAAGCCTATTCTTTCTTCTTCGTTGATCATCAAGTTTTGAATTATTTTCTTCAATTTAGAAATCTTTTTCTGATTCATTGAAAAATCCAGAAATGTTAATTTGTGATTTTTCAAAGATGTCAATGTCTGCTAATCTTCATTTATCATTTCAA